CAAATAAAAATTACATCGAAGCTGTCAAGGTAAGAAACATCTGCCTAGTTGAGGTGATTGACACTGGCAAAGGTGAGTTATAAATTATAGGTAGGCCTGTTGATATTAATAATAATTGTGTGCAGCACTTAAGGTCAAAGAAATAGGCCTATTTAATAAAATTAATTTAAAAAACATTGAAATTATAATAACATGAGTAATACAACAACTGGCCAGCTCGTATGCCTATCCAGGTGAGCATGTTCAGTAAACATTTTTTAGGTGAAGGTGAAAATGAAATGAGCAGTAGGCTCAAAACTAAAGCACAACCATAATACAAAATAATGGGAATCAAAATCAGTAGTATATGTAGTTGAGCTGGATTTGCACTTGTTGATGAATTGTCTTTGGGATGGAGGCAGAGTCAGCAACAGCAATCTCCTCTCCTTCTGGAGCCCTGGCATGGAGGGATGATGATGAGGGATTGAACACAAGAAGCACCATATTCAGGTTTCATACACATTTTAACCAATACTTTTCCATCACTTTTCGACACATGCCATGACTATTTTTATCAATATGTGCGAGGAAAAGAGAGCAAGACAGCGCTTAGTTTGGAGATGGTGAAGGCTCCGAAGAGAGAGAGTGACCGTCTCTCTCTCTCTCTGCTCGTTCGTTCAATTAAACTTGCAGCTCTGCTACAGTAGCAGATCACTTTAACGTGAAGTCCTGCGCGGAAGTGTTTTTAATTTTTATTTTATTAAACATTTCGGCACAGAGGGAAAAAAGTCAGCGAGTGACAGTACAATTACATTTTGGAAGTAACTTGCCAACACTGTCAGCACCGACTTCGCCCCAGGCAACATCGCAACAAGCGAGTGAATCGGAAGTGAACTGACCGTTATGCCATGACGACTTTTGGGGATTGTCTCATTGGGCCGGTTCAAGTAGTGGGGGGCAGAGGGGCTGGGGGGCCAGTCAAAGGGGGGTGGCGGTCCTGAGTCGGCTCGCGGGCCTCTAGGTCGTCTAACAAAAACACGTTACTCCACCTGTTGTTCTGGCGGTGAATTGCTCTGCAACACACGCAAGCCTTTTAGAACCATGAATAGAAACGTGTGCGGCGACGCAACGACGCAGACGCAGAAACATGCGCCAGCCTTGGGGGCTCCTGCGTCTGCGCGTACTTGTGTCTCTCTGAAAACGAAGCATAAACTAGGCTTTACTCACACCCACGTACACCGACCCCACACACTGACACCCTCCAGGTCAGAGAGATGAAGGGAATCTGAAGCCTGCAGAAGTTTGGGAAAGTTGTGCCTGTTCATGTGTCTGACAGCAAAATTAGGGCGTACCATGCATGTGATGTGCAATATCACACATATCACAAAAAGAAACCAGATTTGATGAAAACTCCCATCCCTGTCTGGAGACATGCAGAGAGAAATAGTCTTGAAATTCTGTCTTAAAAAGAGACTTTACTGCAAAGCAAATATCTGATAAGCCTGAAAATATTTTTCATTTGCACATAAAAGGCACATTTTCACAATAGTTTTGTGATTGTGCGTATGGAATGCTTATTTGCTGTTGATTGCTGAGATCAGAGAGGTCAATCGAAATCCCACCAATAAAATGGATGATTGGAGCTGCTCCTTTGGCTTAGGCCCATCTCTGCATTCAACACCAGTCGTATATATATATACTGCATATGTGTTTGTCATGTGTAGCAACACTGCTCTCTGCTGGAGACAAGGGGCGTCATCATCATTTATCTCCCAGTCTATAAAACGAGCAGGAAATCTCAAATCAGCTGCTACAATGTCAATGGATCTTAAACCTGTATGTTATAATGATACAATTGGAATAAACTGGTTTTGCACTCCAGCTGAGAGGGAGAAACTAGAAAAGGCCAAGAGAAGACCAGGGGGAAACAGAATAGGGATTAAAGAGAAGGAAACCCAAAGTTCTAGCAATCCAACTTAATCCACTTGAAGAAAACATGAAATGGATTTTCTTCTAAATATCATATTTGTGTACACAAAGTATGTACACTTGCAGTTCGAACATTTCAAATAAATGAAGTTGATCCCTCCAAAATCACTCTATCATGCACCCGTAAAAAAACAGTGTGGCCCGATGTCTGTTTTCATTTGATACAATAAAAAGGATCTAAGTAGCTCAATTACATCTAAAAAATATTGTTTTTACATAGGGAGCAACCGGGTGTCGTTTAGGGGAAATACAACATAAAAAAAGAGAAAACTGCTAAAGTTTTTAAAATGTATAACCAGATAAGATATCTGAATATATCTTCATTTTGTGAACAATCCATGCTGAGGTGCAGAGAATGCAACATCATCCCAAAACCCAACTTTTCATCTACTAATGCTGCTTTTTGTGTAGCTGGGAACCTCAGAATAAAGGACTGCAGAGTTCACCCGATAACAGCACTCTTCACTTCGGGATGGAATATTTCCAACAGCACACTTTTATGGCTTTTTATATAAACAGTCTAGATGTACGCTGAGTCATTTCAGACACAGTTGGGAGGATTCTGAATGAATGATGCTTAATATTGTTTAATTAAAATGTTTCTTATCATCAACAAATCCCACGTGCCGACCCAACCATCGGGGAATCGATCCTGTTGACAGTGTAGGATCAATTAGGGTCAAATAAGTCTGATGATAAATGAACGAAGCAGTACATCAGTCTGAAACAGAAGAAACAAAGATCTGAAGCTGAAGGGGAAACTATCACAAGCTATAATGTTTAAAAAAAAAGTTAAAAACTGTTTGTTAACAAACAGTCCTAGATTATCTGTCGCTGTGTGTATCCTGTGATATGAACTTTTCCCCACTGACCTCCACAATCTTATCGTGCACATGCTCTTTGCTCCGCCTGCTTTAGGTTAAAACTCACATGTTTATTGCATTCAAGCATTTTATGAATGGACTACTAGACACTATCTGGGGTGAAAAGTGTCTGCTATCACTTCTGTTAGTGATGCAACAGTGTGTCAGAGAATTCTTGTATTTAAAAACTGAAAAGTGCGGCTATTCTCATCCCTTTCTCTGCATGAGCTAGATGAGTTGTTGTTGCAGTTTATACCTGAAATGTTATATGAAAGTCAACATAAAGGAAAAGATTCCAGATACAATGTATCCTAATATATGATATCCTAAAATAACTCATTCTTTCATTTTTCTTCATTATCCTTTAAAAAGTTGAAGAAACCGCAAATTTCTGCTTATTACATGCCAGAATCTTTAAACTCCTGTCTTCACAGGAAAATCATCAAGTCGAGTTAATTTGTGTTTCAACCCACAATGACTTCTCCACAATGGAGGAGAAGAGATCAATTTAGTCCCAGATGTACAACGCCATTTTCAAGACGGACATTTCAAGAAAAGCGAGACATCGAGAGAAGAGATCGACACAGGTGGTATTCCTTCGGGTGGGACTGTGGAGGACATCCCTGAAGGCCTGGGTGAGGAATGTATCAGTGAATCAGCGTGAATGTGTGAATGATGACATGAAGTGTAAAAGCACTGGTTGTTGGAGGCGTGTATGTGTGCTTTTCTACCAGTAATAATGAGTACGTTTTAATAAGCTCACTGAGTAAATACAATCTGAGAACACAAAGAAGGTGGTTAAAATCCATCACATATGACAAACCCACCTCCAACTACTTTTTATTTTTTATTTGAAAGGGGTTTAAACAAAAGGGCTTTAATGCAGACGGTTCATATAAGACGGAGGATGTGCCTCGTCTACTCACTGCGGGGCCTGCTGGTCGAATACGAGGCAGATGGACAAAGGCGCATTGAAGGGCTGAGCCTGCAGACTTCATGGCACGCTGTTTGATTATTATATGACGTCTGAGTAGAGAATAAACTCTAAAGATAAACTTTGTTCAACGGTTCTTTACTCCAATGTTCTAGGACTCGCTGTAATAATGTACTTTTGTCTTTTTTTCAAAAAATGCAGTCCAGTGGTATCCAAAGTAACCGGGTTTGAAGGACCACATTCAAAACATCCTTTCTTCTATGGGTTAGGGACGGGGGTGACATTGCCTCCGCAGGCCCTTATTGTGCGCTTTGGATGCACACACACTACTTGTTAATAGTCTTCTATGGGTCTCAATGGTGGGGAGCAAAATACATTTCTTCCAAAACGTATAACCTCAGTACCCTTTAGAGTCGCATGAGGAGGTCTGAATGTTCCCATTGTTATGATAATTGAATCTGATTCAAAAGGCTACTGTATTATGTTAGTGTAACCAATGAGAGAAAAGGAAAGAGCCTTTTACTCTAAATATGTTCACTCGGTTTCATTTGGTTCATTTGGTTTCATTTATAAAGAGGGTACCTTTCCAAATAAAACATGCAGGCAAACTATTTTGATGGATTTACTAAACATATTTCATCGAATTGGCTTGTGTATCTGTTTGAGATACAAATGGAAGTAAAATTCATCAGGAACATTCATTTATGCCAAAATCCACTCTGCCCCCAATTTATAGAAAAAGACCTATTTTGAATTGGTTTGGATTAGTTGCAATTTTTGCACATTTTTACTTCCTCTCCAGAAGGGAATAACTCACAATTCAATGCAAAGGGAGGTTAAAAACTCACCACACTCAACCAGAAGACATGAGTTAGGCTTCAGGGTTTAAGGCCTTTGGGGGGGGGGGCATTGAGAAATTTGGGAGAGCCGTGAGGACCACTTGGGAGTATCCTTCACAGAGTCTGATCATTTTTTTACCGGTTCATATGAATTACATTATTTCCCACATAAACATAAACAATATTTTGCAGTACAAGACGTCACATTTTCTATTTTGGTCTTTTAAATAATGACCTTAGAATAAATAATGCAAAAGGCCGGACCCGGTACACAGTACTATGCTGCTTTCTGGTGATAATAACCGTGCTCCTTCATCAGTACAGCATAACTCTATAAACCTCAGCACAGCCGTATCACAAGCAGACACCGCGTCACGTGACGCAGCAAAGCTCGGCTCCTCGCTCGGAAATCTCGTTTCCTCGTTTCCTTGCGTCTCGGGCAAAGGACGCTCGCGGGAGAAGACGTGGACGCAAACGCCCTTTGGATAAGAGTCCAATGCGGTTTAAAAGCAGAGGAGGTACGTGTGAAACACACGGGCAACGGTACCGTAACAACGGGTGACGTTAGCGACACTTCGGCGGTGGTTAAACTAGACGTAAGGACGCAGTTTAGCCTCCTCAACCCGACAGTGTCCCGCGGAAGTGGAAGTTTATTTTGAAAAGCCCCCAACGTACGTAACGAGTTTAAATTGAGTGTTACTGGCCTTTCTTAGGAAAACTTTAAAAAACGTTACTACGTGCGGTACGAACCGTTGTGTGAGGATACGTGAAACACACACAGTCATGTTAATGAGAGTAATGTTTAAAACATCACTCACGTGGTCACCTGATCACATGTAGACCTTTGAGAGGAGGTACTGTGTATTCTTATTATAAAGAACAATCTTCGAATCAGCCGGAGCCTTTGCGCATCTGAGACAATTGAAAAGTCCTTAGAAAGTGGGGTTTCATTTTTTTTTACCATTCCTCTTAACAGGCTTAAACTAACGTCACGTTATGAAACACTTTTCAAACATGTACCATAGCAAGATCACACTTGTAGCTAAAGAAAATACAAAATCATTTTTTGTGATTTCTCTAGGGTTTCTGCCGCAACGTCATGAAGGCAATAATGCAGCCGTCCTCCGTGCTGCTGCTCTTATGGTTGAGCTGCGTGTCTCCTCTGGAGGGCACCAAGCCCAACTTCGTCCTGATCATGGTGGATGACCTGGGGATCGGAGACCTAGGCTGCTATGGCAACACAACTCTGAGGTGAAACATGTCGCTCTTCTATAACGTAGCAACTGTTTTCATGATTGATTCCTTTAAAGAAATATATATATATATTTCATCCCAGTCCCTTCCTAGTTTGGAGAGGCCTTTGACTGCAGGTCTAGTCACCAATAAATGGAATGTACACGTATTTCTCTTTTCTAGTCTTCCAACCACTCAAAGCGCTTTACCACTTCATGTAAACATTCACTCATTCATGCTCATTCATACACTGAATGCCCCCCCCCTGAGATATAACCCCTCCAGCGTATTCCGGGTCTTCCGCAGGGTCTCCTTCCAGTTGGGTCTCCCCGAGCAACGTCCTGGTGAGATGCCTGAACCACCTCAGCTGACTCCTTTCGACTTGAACGAGTAGCTCCTCAACTCCAATTTCCCTCCCGATGTCTGAGCTCCTTACTTCATCTCTAAGGTGGAGCCCAGCCAGGGTTAAAAATGTAATGCAAGTCGCTTTGGATAAAAGCGTCAGCTAAATGACCTGTAATGTAAATAATATAGTTTATCCACAAACTGACTGTGTAACTGGACAAACAGTAACTGGGGAAACAGATTTTGGAAAGACTTTGGAAAGATTGTTTGTATTTATCAAATTATTATTTATCTATGAATGTATCACTTTGGTTAGTTCTAATGGGTGGCACTGTGTATGGTAGCCATCAGTGTAGGAATACGTGTGAATGGGTGAATGATGCATTGTGTCATAGGGCTTTGAGTGGTCAGAAGAATAGAGAAGTTTACCAATAGCACTGTAAACTGTCTTACCTGACAGGTAAAATTGCACTTCTATTATTTTTTAGAACTCCCAATATTGACCAGCTGGCACAGGAGGGTGTGAAGCTGACCCACCACATCGCCGCAGCGAGCCTCTGCACCCCCAGCAGGGCGGCGTTTCTCACAGGGAGATACCCGATACGATCAGGCCAGTTCAGCGACAGCGACCCATCAACAAAACGATTCTTCCTCCTCCAGCTAGAATCCCATTAATGAACTGACCAGTCCATACACAGCAAACTGTGGTGGCACACACAGTTCAAACAAATAATGACTGATCCCATTTTAAATCTTTTCATTTTTTTTTTATATAGGAAGTGACTGCCCTACAACTGTCCCGTGGTTCCAATGGTGTCTCCTCTCCCTCAGGTGTGGCCGGTTATCACAGACCCGGAGTCTTTTTATTTAACGCAGCCTCTGGAGGTCTTCCCAGCCATGAGATCACCTTTGCTAATATTGCAAAACAACAGGGCTATAAGACCGCTCTGATTGGTAAATGTCCATCTTCTTTGATTTCAGAAGCTCTGAATGGATGCTGAGGGTTAATGCCATTAGGAGGATCAAATATTTTTCACTCTCATGTTTATGAGCTGTAACATAAGTTAATTTCATATTAAATCAATGTGGTGTTAAGTAGTCATGAGTTTAATTATATATAATTTATAGATAAAGTAACCAATCAGGAATAACTGTTTTTGGCTCAAAAGCCACTTCCGATGACTGATGAAAAGGTTAAACTCCCCCAATAAGAACACATTTTTGCAAACTAAGTGTTATTTCAAGCACACATTTTGTAACAAACCAAGGGCCTCAGGCAAAGATTCCAGCAATGCCTTCTGAAGCTGTGTTCACATACTGCATATTTGTTGCTGAAATATAATGTGTCATCATTTTGTCATCAACATAATCTTGGAACAAGGAAGACGGCTGAAATGGTCTTTAACAAAAACGGCAGACAACTTGATTAACCATTGTTAAATATACTATTTCAATGCCAACGGAGTCCTCTGGCTCATTACTGCACCCGCAGCTCCAGAAAATCTAATAAAGGTTCACAAATCTTTCAAAAACATCCCCAGCTAAACAATTAGCTCAGCGTTTAGCTTTGGCTTATTTGCTGCCTCTTCTGAACAACGATCACCTGCACAGTACCCAACAAACTGAGCATTTCTGCGCATTAATGTTCTGTGTGTGTTTGCGGAATGTTTCCTGGGATTGTTTTTGATTCCCCTCTGCTGTTTCCAGGAAAGTGGCACCTCGGACTGAACTGTGAGAGCAGTGAGGACCACTGCCACCACCCCAGCGTCCACGGCTTCGACTACTTCTTCGGCATCCCCTTGACCAACCTGCGAGACTGCCGGTCTGGCCACGGCACCGTCTTCCAGTTCCATAAATACATCCCATACCGGGCGCTGGCCGCTGTCCTGGTCGCTGCCGGGTCGCTCTGCCACGTTGGCGCCATCAACCCTCGCGGAGGGCGGGTCCTGGGCCTGCTGGGTCTGGCGGCACTGGTCACGGGTCTGGCGGTGGGATTCGTGGCTCTGATGCCGTACCTCAACTGCGTACTCATGAGGAACCACCTGGTTGTCGAGCAGCCATTCGCGTCCGAGAACCTGACCCAGAGGACGACTCGCGAGGCCGTGGACTTCTTGGAGAGGTACGACGTCAGCCCGTCTTCTTGTGATCAGGAAACTGGCTCATGGTTTAATGATAGGAATTGCAATCTTTCCACATGTTCAGTGATGCTTATGGACACGAATTGTTTAGAAGTAGTCAACTCGTGACTAGGTCAGATTTATTTATAATGATTGTAATCATTAGCCGCAGCCCAATCCATGGTTCACTATAATATATTATATTTTCCTGATTGTGCAGGAACTCTGCAGGGCCTCTCCTCCTGTTCTTCTCTTTCATCCAAGTGCACACAGCCATGTTTGCGTCGGCGGCCTTCAGAGGGACGAGCCGTCACGGCATCTACGGAGATGCCGTCCACGAAGTGGACTGGAGCGTAGGTGGGTCGGCACAATCGGTTGTGTGCGTGTGTAATATATATATATATATATATATATATATATATATATATATATATATAGAAATATGGCGGAGAAAGGCGCTGATTACCTGATGAGCTGCACGTTTTGTAAATATGACGTCAACTGAAGTATCACAGCGAGCGCTATCAGCACGTCTGCATTAGCGCTGATAATGCAACGTTTGCAAATATGCGTACATGAAGGCCAGAGTCTGGATACATTACGTTATTTCACAGTGCAGTTCCAAAACAAAGGGAAACCGTAACTGACTGATTCATTTTACTATTAGTAAAAGTAGTAGTAGACTAACAAGTGGGGATTCCCGAGTTACAGACTTCTACAGGAAGTCTGTAAACACTGTTACTACATAAAATATTACTATTTGTTATTCGCTTGATGGTTCAAATATATATCAGCTACATACTTTTTGGGGGAGTTGATAACCTCTGACTTCAATGTGCCCCCCCCACTTACTAGCTGGAGGGTAAAATGTATTTTCTAAATGAATTACGGTCTGTTTTTGTCTACCTTCACTTGCATTGGAATTCAAATGAGTGTGTTTATGACCGGAATGAAGAAGAGGAAGAGCCCCAGTTTGTGGGCTTCACATAATCAGTGCTTGTTAAGATGTGGACACTCACAGTCCCACAACTGGATGCTTATGTTCCAGGGAGGAGTTTTGTGTCTGTACCCGATACAAATAGGAGTGCAGCTACAAGCCCTGGGGTGGGCAGAAGTGCTTATTTTGGTTAAATCAAGGCCTGCTGTAAATTTGTGTGTTTGCTTTGTTACTGGTAACAATAGTCATCAAACATTAATCTTACATTTGATTAGTCTCCATCCACTGAAGGTTAGAATAAAGAACAGATTAGACCAAAATAGATTTGCATGCTACAGTTATTAGTACAGATTTTAATATTTTTATAACGCGTAAATTGACTGCTCGTATTTCTCTTCTCTAGTCTTCCAACCAATCAAGGGCACTTTAACACTAAACACCATTCACATTCACGCAGTCACAGGGCTACAATGCCAATCTGCCCATCAGGAGTTTACCTATTTATGCAGCACACACACAGCCTTCGGGAGCAGCAATATATTATTTTATTCATTTTTATCTTTTGTTCTGCATTTTATGTATTCAGAACCAGTTAAAAATTCCAAGAACCTACAATGTGTCCAATCACGCCTGCATGTGCGTGTGATGTGTCCTCAGGTGAGATCATGAAGACTCTGGACCGACTCCAGCTGAGAGAAACCACTCTGGTTTACCTGACATCAGACCAGGGCGCCCACGTGGAGGAAATCTCAGCCACGGGCGAGGTCAACAGAGGGTGGAATGGAATATATAAAGGTCCAGCACGATGCCGAACAGCTATTTAAGGCCGAAATTTGATTTGTTATTATTTCAGTCAGGACACATCTGCAAATTCAACGTTTTAACGATCACGAAACACGAAGAAAAACGATCAAGCAATTAAATGTCTCGAAGATGTAAAGCTCAGCATTGTATGCGGACAGGATTAGCACCACCTATTGAGCACATATATTACATTACACGTCATTTAGCTGACGCTTTTATCCAAAGCGACTTACAATAAGTGCATTTCAACCATTAGGATACAAAGCCAGAAGAACAAGAAAGTTCAATATTATGGAAGCAGATATAGAACTTAATTTCATCTTGAATTATAACAAAAACTAACTCATTGAGAAATTGTTGGGCCACTCCTCTGTGGGAATCACAGGATTTACACCACGCTCTATCATTGGTCCACAGCTCTAGTCCCAAAATTAAATTAATACTTTTCTTTGTTTCACATACTTGAGTGAAACTGGCCTATATTGAAGTAATAGATGTGGAAAATAATAATCTGAAATCGACTTAGATTCCATATCACTTTTAACAGAACAATCCCACAATCCCAATCCCATTAAGCAGCACTCCCCATCCGTCCAAAATCACTTCTGAGACTCCCTCCTTAAAAGTCATTTGCACTGGTTTGTCCTTAAAGACTCAATGGTTTCCCTTTGACTTCCACCCAGAAAGGAGCCGTGTAGGTTTGGATCGATCATCTCTTCAGACCTGATAGGAAGAGTAGTGTTCTGTGAGGCAGTGACGGCCTGCTATCCATCCGTCCGTCCATCTAACTATCAACGTGAAATCTATTTGTGTTCTTGTACTTCCTCTGAGCAGCAGGGAAGTCCACAAATTGGGAGGGAGGGATCCGGGTGCCGGGGATCCTGCGCTGGCCGGGAAACATCCCCAGTGGCAGAGAGGTGGACGAGCCCACCAGCAACATGGACCTGTTCCCCACGTTGGTGCGGCTGAGCGGAGCCTCAGTCCCAGTGGACCGGTAAGGTTGGGCAGCAGTGAGACGGCGTCACTTCCTCCTGTCAGGCAAAACAAGCGCATCCCAAAATCTAGGTCACAAAAAAGGACAGAGGATGGGGGGAGAGCCTGAGTGATTCTCTGGGCTCAATGCCAGTGAGAGCCAGGAAACAGAGCTGTGTGTGTGTGTGTGTGGGGGGGGGGGGGGGGTCTTTAAGGGCATCAGAAGGCTGTTGACAGTAATGAGACCAATTTGATTGAGCTCCTGTCTTCTGGTCTTCAGGGAAATAGATGGCCGCGACCTCGTGGATTTGCTTCAGGGCCGAGTTGAAAGGCCGACCCATGAATTTCTGTTCCACTATTGCAACATCTATTTGAACGCGGTCCGATGGCATCCCCAAAACAGTAAGCGGGAAATCCAGTGTCATGTGCACACAGCGAAGAAATACACCCTCATGTATTACTTACAAACACCCTGCATTATATATTTCTATATTATAATGATGAAAATGATGCTTCATATCAACCAACAAACCGCTATATCTACAGAGAATGTAAAATTCTTTATTATTTTTTTGAAGTGTAGAAAGAAAAACTGCAGCTTGGACTTTTCTCAGGTTACTCTGTCCAAGGAGTCTCATTTTGTGGCTTTGCCTCCCATTTCCTCAGGTAGCTCCGTGTGGAAAGCCTTCTACTTCACGCCAAACTTCTACCCGGAGAACGAGACGGCCTGTTTCCACACGCACACCTGCTTCTGCTCCAAGGGCTACGTGACCTACCACGACCCTCCGCTGCTCTTCGACCTCACGCGGGACCCGTCGGAGAGCACGCCGCTGACCCCCGACAAGGAGCCGGCCTTTCACTCTGTCCTGGCCGCGATGGAGGCGGCCGTGGAGCAGCATCGGCGGTCTGTGGAGCCCGTGGAGAGCCAGATGTCGTGGTGGAACCTGATGTGGAAGCCCTGGCTGCAGCCCTGCTGCTCCACGCTGGCACAGCTCTGTCAGTGTGAGCGAGATGAAGAGCGTGGAGACGATTAATAATGCACAGCTGACTCCAAAGACCACGTTTGAGTCGCAACCGGGTCAGCGAGTGTCATGTTCTACTGAAGAGGAGTGAAGGAGTGTCATTAGGCGTTAAATCAATTTCTTTTGAAATAATTTTGTGCAAGCAATATATTGTAAATATACAAACTGTTTCAGACACGTATGAACTGATGATAAATACTGTAAACTGTAATAAAAAATGATTTCATCAGGATGATATATCAGCCTCTTGGCACTGTCAAACATCTAGACAGAAACGTTCTGTCAGGACAAAGGGGAACCCCTGTGAGTGGTCTGTAAAACCCAGTTTATATTTTACTGCTGAAGAAACAAACCACACAAAAAAAACTGAATTTTGAGAATAGCCTGAAAAAAAATCAGCCACAACATGGAGATGCGAGGCCAAAAACACACTTACTGTTCACTACAATGATGTACTTATTGTTAACACATGTACTCATGAGTGAATTAGATGCATAAATTTCCATTGTTATGCAGACTATAATCAACTGTATCTGTCGATCAAGCCAGAAGAGCAGCTTGTTAGACTTCAACAATGTCTTGGAGACATCAAAACTTTGATGACCTGCAACTTCCTGAAGCTAAACTAGTTAGAAGACGTTATCTAGATAGTCCCAGAGCACCTTCAAAATCAGCTGTCATGTGATAGTTTTTATGGATGGAATTGCTTTGGTACCCAGCAGCACCATCAAGAATCTGTTCGACCAGGATATGACCTTCAACTCTCATAAAAAGAAGACTGCCTTTTTTGCCTTTTTTCATCCACGTAATATATCGAAAATAAGGAACTTCCTGTTTCAAAGTGATGCAGAAAAATGTGTTTATGCCTTGGTTACTTCTAGACTGGATTACTGTAATTATTTGTTATCAGGCTGCTCTCTTAATCCCCTCCAGTTGATTCAGAATGCTGCAGCATTAACGCGAACTGAGAAAAGATCATTTTAGCCCCGTATTAGGTTCTCTGCACTGGCGCAGGTTCGCCTGGACCAGCCCTTAGTTAAGCTGCTATAGGCCTAGACTGCCAGGGCACTCAGGACACACCAAGCTCCTCTCTCACTCTCACCTTCCACGTTTTATTAATGCACGTCACAAATTCAGCTTCTTTCAGTTGTTGCTTTCTCGACTCGCAGGTCATCGTAGATCGTAGTTCCGTCTGGACCCTGGTTGAATATATTTATTGAACACAACAGGGACAGTAAATGTTAAACCAGAGCAGCCTAGCCCTGGTCCTCAAGCTTCAGCAAGTCCTTCTGCCCATGGTGTTTATTGAGCAAAATTTTCCTTCATGGGGGGGCGGCCATCGCTTGTGGTCCAACACAAACAAAGTACAATAAGTCGTTCTGACCTACAGAATCATACACTTGTACGGGTGAAAATACAATTGAATGTTATGGTGTATAGTGCACCGGTTGGTCCTCAGCCCAATCTGCTGCACGTAAACCACACAAATCACAACCAGATCGTCCTCAGTATCGTGCTAGACGTCCCCAAATTTACTTCCTGTTTCCAACCCTGCCTGTCCCTGGGATTCCCTCGTCTTGTCCCTGCCCCGGGGAAAGTACAAAAAAAGGATAGGGATGCCCAATATCCAGCCCTGAAGTCCCCTCGCTTGCCTAAAATATCGCAGCAAATAAAGAGATGTTCGTATTTAACGCTCCAACCTAAAGCTTCGGGGACTTTACCATAAACATTACCGATGTTCACGTTATTATTGTCCTCCCGCAGAACATCGTGAAAACTAGAAGAGCAGAAGAAAAAAAGCACAGAATGTTTGTGTGATACACTGCTTTCTATATAAATATACATGTATATTCCTTTATTGGAATGGGCGATGGGGGAAATGTAAGTGTTGTAGCAGCTCAAGTACAGAAATAGATTACGGTAATAAAACATAATATACAATAAATAAGAATAGCATTTAAAAAAAAATACATTTTATTTTTAAAAATTGCAATCCTGGTAATAAATAGAGCAAGTGTTTTCGAATTGGCCCGTCAGCTCATCCATTCCTCGCTCTTGAGGAACCTCACGGCGTCATTGAACCCGTCCTCACACAAAGACCGCATGGCACAGTGGGCCGGAGGGAACAGAGCCCGGTTCAGACGTTTGAGGTTCTCCACGGAAAACTGAGGAAACCAAAGAGAACTTTGTGAGCTGGAAGAGCACTACATTGAGTCTGTTTAATACTGTTTTTGAGGGATGACCTGAGCCTCACCATGATGTCCATGTTGGCCAGCCGGAGCCGAGTGGCGAAGCGCCCCCTGTGGACAGGACACACGTCCTGCAGTCCGGCGAACGGAGACAGAGTGACTGTGCGTCCCGTGGGGAGGATGGGAAGGCTGTCAGTGAAACCCCCGTCAATCCATTTCTAATAGAACAGAACCAGAGCCTATGAAGATTGTCATTCTGTGGATTAAATATTAAAAGCAAAAGGCCAAAGGATTTCTAGTGAAATGCGGATATCATGTCGAGAATTTACATAGACGAGTAACCCCGTGTCTCTTGATGCATACAGTTTTGGTTTTTGGTTAAAGACTCTGTCGACAGCTCCATATTTTGAGTGTAATTGATTTTCCAAAAAAGAGACCAAGGACCCAAAGTTGACGTCCCAGATAACTTCAGATGTATCTCCTCAACAGTATGACTTCTGGTATTATGCCTTTACTGGAATATTCTTACATACATGTATGGCACCCACATCACTACCTCATACTGAAAGGAAAGTGACAGGAGCTGGTCTGGTTGGTTTACCGGTCGGTTCTACAGGCTCATGAAGACGAACTCATGGAAAAAGCTTTTCGTTTCTGCTTTTTTGATACTCACAGGACTTTATCGAAGACAGGTGATGCTTAACATTATCATATTCAAAATTCAAATCATCCATAGATCTGGATGATGTTGTTACGTCTGTTATCATGTCAGTTCTGAATTGAAATTAATCTCAGCATAAGAACCCGACAAGGTGTCGCTAAAAAAAAAAAAAAAAAAAAAAACAGTACGTTTTTGTATAAATTGTGTTTGGGATTCTTTCCAAATGGCTTTTATGCACGATTTGGTTTAGGTTTTTAATCGCAGTCTGAATGCACCCAGATACAATTGTATTGTAGCGGCAGTTGTTAATACTCGATACAGCACTTTTTTTTTTAATATCCCCCACAATTCGGGCCCTCTCAAATGACAAAGTGACATACATATTCGTTTGTTGTTTGAAGAACAAAACTTCCCCAAATTAACAGACCTGGACTTGAGGTGAAAAAAAGCCTGTTACCTGTCCTTGTAATTCCACCGGTTTGAGTCCAGCGTAAAGCGGCACAAAGCTGCTGGCCAGCAGAGCCTGCAGAGGCAACACAGGGAAAGGGGGGGGGGATGTTTTTTCAGCACTTTCACCCAAAGTTACATGAAACAATAATAGTCAACAACTCGACATTGAATGTTTGCCCTTGTCACCATTCAACATGCGCAGTACTTTCACTTTTTGTGCCATTGCTGATCGATATTGTGCAGTTTTAAAGTCAGCTGAAGAAGGAAGGAACCCGACTGTCACATCTATGTGGAAAGGGAGAGGGGGGGGGGGTTACCTTTATGAGCTCCTCCCTGGAGGTGAACTGGGATATGATGTGGTTCCTGACGCTCCTGGAGTGCGTCATGGAGACGTGGAGGCGTCCCGTGGCCAGGCTGTGAGCGTCGCTGGGCAGGATGTCCTCGATGCCCTCCCTGGACACAATGCACACGCAGATGTTGCTCATCTGTCCGGTTTGTGAGGATGAGGTCCCCGCTGGGCTATCATAGGCCCCGGGTGCTCTTCTGCCTCATCTACATATCCCTTCTGCTATTGATCATATAGGGAATCGAGAAGCGCACTAATGATGGAGGTAACAAATCACAGCTCAGAATTTGACTTTAGTTGCTATTTTATCTAGTTGTTTCCTTTTCTTTATCTAAAAAGGTGTTTTAACAGATTTAAACAGACTTAAAAATGTGCTGAATATGAAGGAGAAACTATTCAAACAGACTTAGTGAAGGGAAACAAATCTGCTGCATAAGGTAAATAGCATCTATTGCTCTCTATGTCACTTGAATTTCCATCCCACATTTAGCATTTCCTGTATTTTATTTTTATTTTATCCCAAACTGTTTTTTTTGCTTATGATGTCTTATAAATGACAAAAGCAGGTATTTACTCAAAAACCCGATGTATGGGAGTGGACATAATGGGAGACGCTCGCCAGAAAAAAACTGCAATGTCAGCAGACTGTCTTGGGTACTTTATTCTGTCCGTATAACTCGCTGTCCTCGAAGCACCGAAGTAGCCCTTAGCTTCCAAAGCAGAGGCTGCATCTCTTGGGTTGGTGGACCTCTCCGGTCTCCCCGTCTCCACCTTTTTCTCCCTCGCCATTCAGACTTCTTCTCACCCGGAAGTTTCCGTCATTTTACAATGAAATAAGAGTCAAATCGACCTTTACGGTGTGACCTTAATAGAGCCTAGTTCACTACACAATGTATTGAAGAAGACTTAAAACAGAGGTTGAGACCATAAACACATGAATCCTACATCATCGTGCCATCAGTTTCACTAAATTCTTAAAACAAATCGGACACCTCGCTTTAGTCGTGATGGTACACAGATGTGTGTATTACCGCAGCGCAAGCATGAAGTCGTATCCCGGTGTGACTGCTCCGAAGCGCTGCCGCCTCACGCTGTCGGCGAACCTGTACGTGAACTCTTTGCAGTTCTGGAGAAGAGAGCAAACGCAGTAATGACGACATCATCCCCTCATTCAAGGTCGTGACCTGTGTCAGGAGATGCCCAGTAAAGGTGTCTGGATAACTGAAAGAAGCTTAGGTTGAAGATGTTGATGTCAATAGAATATAGTTTCCTGTCCACATCAAAAAAATAACACAATCTAACAATTTTTCACTCGGGTTCATTCACTTCTACACATTCACATTTCGGGAATCTAGAGCCAGTGCAGAGGCCCTCGACAGTAATCTTCCTAGGTACAGTTCAAGAACTTTAAATTATGAAGTTGTATCTTTATTTGACATCCAAATGAAGCTTTCCAAGTATAATCTTTGGATGTTGCTTTATACATTTTTAAGAGTGACCATGTTACAATAAAGAGGATGGATATTTGAGATCAATTCTCAGAGATCAGCCTTACAGAATAATAGTGATCATAGTGTGACTTCGGACTACAACTTACTAGAAATTACAAAACATTTTCGGTGCCCGTTTTCCTCTGGGTCCTCGGGAACCCCCCGACCCCACCGAGGGGGCAAACACCTACCTCTAGTTTTTCGGGAGCTGTGATCAGCACTGCAGCCACCAGGGCTCCTGCAGAGGCCCCCGCGCAGGCCCCGAGGGAGCCCAACATCTTGTCCCCGTGGCGGAGAAGGGCCCCTGCGGCTCCCAGGTGGTAGATTCCCAAGAAGCCGCATGCCGCAAAAGACAAGTTCAGGACGGTCATCTCCAAACCACCTGCAGGGAGGGAATGATGGGGGCTAATCACTGAATACTTATGCATATCGTGTGTTCTTCAGTAGATACGGCTTATATTTTGACATGTCTTCAATTTAAAATGATCTTCATAAGAAATACTAATACAATTATGTAAAGTGACAAAGTATCAAATGGAGCTATACATGATTTACTAGTATTTATACTATTTTCATTACAGTACAGAGTTCCGTACGGTTTCTCTTTAAGAAAAACGATGACGTAGACAGGTCAGTCAGAGTAGCATTCAACACCCGCACGTAGCGTTGCAGAGCAGAGGTGGCTCACGTTAGCTCACGTTAGCTCACGTCAGCTAGCGTTAGCTCGCGTGAGCTGACGTGAGCTAACGTGAGCTCGCATGAGTAGAAGAAGAGGACTTGCCGTATCCAGCGTTCCCTCGTGTTAGTTTTATTCACGGCGAACGATAAGGGCGAAGCTGCTCCCTGTAAACACATTACCTTGTTTCTTGTTACACTTCCGGTTACGTCGGGGTCAAGAAAGAATCCGCCACAGTGGCAACACGTTTCCTTTTCTGCTCCAGATTTTCAAAATAAAACGTCTACATAGGGAAACTAGTTCATTGGTAGTTTAGTCTACATTAGTAGGCATGTGTACCTGCCTGCATTCACGTATTACCATTTTTCCTGTAAGTGCTGGAAGGTAAACTCTAAACATTAGTCCCAAGTTTGCTACATGTACCAGGCCATACGCTGACTCTGATCAGTGTGAATAGCCATATTTTCTTACGTTTACTGGTAAAACAGCATGCTTACATTAACACTTTACACTTTTATTCCAATCAAAAAAAGGCTAAACTATAAATTGCTACAAGTAAGTGCCATCGTAAGTGCTAACTAGAGGCTTTCTGCTGTCCTGATGTCATTGAGGAGCTTTTTCACTATTTAGGAGCCAGGAAAGCAAACAGCAGGGAGGTAAGTTCCACCCAAGATGCGTCTTGAGGGACTTCAGGGCAGGAAGTCAGAGTCAGGGCTGGAGTCAGGACGAAGTTGTCAAAGGCAACATGCCTTTAACAGGCTGATGGGAGAACCTTTATCGGGAAGGAAAAAAGTTTAGTCTTGTCAAGGTTGATTTTCAAGTGGTGTGTGGCCATCGACTGAGAGATGTCAGTAAAACAGGCAAGTTGCTGCTGCTACCGGTTTCTCAGATTGAGTAAAAGATTAGTTGGGTGTCATCCGCATGGGTATGGTAGGAGTTGACGACAGCGGTGAGACAGTGTTGAGAGGACAAGGTTCAGACATTGATTGTCTCCAAGTTACCCGTTAAGTGCGGCGGTTGAGGTAGGATGAGAGAGTGGAGAGAGCAGAGCCAGAGACCACTAGTTCCTGAAGTAAAGGGAGGGAATAAGGATCTGGTAGTTCACTGTGTCAAATGCACCAGGAAGTTCAAGAAGGATAAGGGACAGAGGAGAGAGAGGCTGCTTTTTAGAAGGTGGTTGCTCACACACAGCAAGGGAGGGAAGTCTCTTGTTTGAGTGCCCTTCCTTGAAGGTGAGGATCAAGATGGCTGTTATTGCGGACATAAGAGGGAGAGTGGGATAAAGCGTTTGGAAAGAAAGGCAAAAGAGACACAGGTCTGTAGGAAAGCAGTGGAAGAGTTAAGTCAAATTAAAAAATACACCAGCACATATGCCAAAAAAAGGAATAGTAAATCAAATGAACAGCAAACATATAGTGAAAACACGATATACAATTTTTCTCCGTAAATAGTTTCACTAAAAATAATTATAAAAACTCTTAGTAGTGAAAGTCGTGCAAAAAAAATGATCAATGCATTACCAAATATTAAATTATTTTGTACTAAATCAATCAGGTGAAACGCAATGAATTCAGATGTTGGGTACATACAGTACATATACAGTGGGGAGATCAAGTATCTCACGACGGTGGCGCATGGATTAGAGAGGGTGCGCCGTTCAAACCCTGGCTGCTCCATGTTCCATGGCGAAGTCTCCCTGAGCAAGACACCCAACCCCTAATTGCTCCCTGGGTAAAATGTAAAAAAAAAATGGGTTAAAAATGCAATGTAAGTAACTTTGGATAAAAGCATCAGCTAAATGACATCTAATGTAATATTTGATACACTGCCAATTTTGCAGGTTTTCCCACTTGCATGTAGGAGTCTGTCATTTTTATCATAGGTACTCTTCAAATGTGAGAGACGGAATCTAAAACAAAAATATGGAAAATCACATTTTAGGATTTAAAATATATATATTTTGGAGTTCATTGCATGACATAAGTATTTGATTACCACTCATTACCTGTTTTAAATGCACCCGTTAGATCACGTTAAAAGACACCTTTCCACACACTCAATTGAACAGACTCCAACCTATCCGCAATGGCCAAGACCAGAGAGCTGTGTGAGGACATCAGGGATAAAACTGTAGACCTGCTTCTTGGTCTGGAATATGTATATTCTGTGTATTTGATTTATAAGAGGAAATAAAGACATCTGAGGACTATTGCACAAAACCAGGATAAGGGATTAAGCCGGGATATTCACCTTATCGTGGATGAATTTAGCTTTGACTTGGTTGCACAAAAGCAGGTTGAATTAAACCCAGCCAAGTAACCATGGTGATTTATTGCTGCTAGCCTGCTCCAAACCAGACTAACAGCCAGGCTAAGATTAATCCTGAAGTCTCACGTGTTAAATCAGCTGCCCCTCTGATCCGAAACAAACGTGTTTAACAGTTTTTCCGTTGTCTTCTGAATGTGTGCTGATTTATTTTTATTAACGTGCATTACTTGTCGCTATTGTCACGAGTTTGATTTTGGATATCCCAAATGCAAAATTTCAACCTTGTATGTGGGAATGAGTGCAGCACAGTGGTGTGATGGTTAGCACAGCTGGAAGGGCCTGGGTTTGAAGCTTTTCATGTGGAGTTTGCATGTTCTGAGTGGGTTCTCTCCGGGTACTTCTGCTTCCTCCCAAAGTCCAAAAAGCAGACTTAGCGACTCTAAATGGCCCGTAGATGTGTGAATGTGAAAATGAATAGTTGTCTGTCTCTATGTAAGTCCTGTGATTGACTGGCAGCCAGTCCAAGATGTAACATTGTCGGCTGACCCCCTGGAGTGTAATGATTCCTCTGCAACCACTTCGGTGAGCATTTACTTGCTATAGACCTCCGTCACCATTGGAATTGGAGTTTTTTTTCTCTTAGCTTTACCGGCTGATCAGCAAAAATGTCTCGCTCCTTAAGTTGTGCTTATCATATAGAGTTAAGAGGATTAGGTGCGCTGTGGAGAAAGACTTGGCGGGACTCAAGGCAATGGTGTCAGTAGTCTACTGACATAATGGAGGATGGATAATGTATTTTTTAATTGAGCATTGTAAACTAGCAGAAATGTTTCAGTGTTTTGAATCGATGAGTCACAGCATAATTTTCTACGTCCATGACACCAGACAGCCCCTGTCCCATTCTAGCTATATTTGATAACTCGCATTACCAGGTTGGTTTTACTGATGCATTATTATGTAAGCAGTGTTTGAATAGTGTAGAACATAGGTGCCATCTTACCTAAAACAGGTTTGACACCCCTAGTGTAGCAGGTTACGGTGAAGCTATTTTCAACCATTGTATACGCCGTTACATGGATGGATCCATAACAATGCTTCATTTCTTGTTAAATCTTGTTAAATTATCTTCTGAAGACACATACAATGGAAACCCTTTAATTACTTCAAACTGATATGTTGCTATGCAATGGCCTGGCGGGTACTCTAACTTTGCCATTGTTTGTCTGAGAGAAATATAAATGGTATCATTCAGTAGCCAGGAGAGCGAACAGTCGGCGCTGATGTTGTTTCATGTGTTATTTGCCATGGGTTTAGCATCAAAGGACAAACCAAGATGTATACTATTGTACTAATTTGCATAGTATATATATATATATATATATTCATATCGAGTACCCTAAATTTCGGTTCTTCTAGAAGATTGGGTAGTTATTGAGTGGAAAGCCTGTGGCAAGGAAGCAGAGCTTAGAAACAGAGCGCATGTGTGGGACACAAATTCAAGGATTTAGGAAACTGAAAAAGTCCAATTTCAGATATCAGACTCATTAACCAGACCAAAGTAATAATTAAGAGGTACTTTCAGAAAAATATTGAAGGAATATTATCTGAGTCACATCCATTGGATGAGTGGGCTGTGTTTGCCCAGAAAGGAATGTGATAGGACTTGGGTGAGTATGGGTGTAATTAAACTTGTTAGAGCTCGGCCCTGCTGATAATGCCCTTAAGAGTTTTTTTATGCGCAGATTGAGGAGAAAGCCCTGCATCCCCTTCTCAACACTCCCACACAAGTGAAGTTGGAGAGACTTTCAAGGTCACACAGATAAAGCAAATCTATTTCAAAGATCAAATGGTTCCTGTCAATCGAAGAAAAGAAAAAACTCATTAGGGGGGGGGAAGATGTGAGGGGTCACAGAGAAATTGAAAACTGAGCAGAGAGGGAAGGACAAACCACACAACGGAAACAGAATGGATGTGACAGATGAAAGGGGTGAGGTCACGGCTCGCTGAGGCCATACGGACAATCCCATCTCCACAGTGTCGACCCGTACCCGTGATATCACCGCAGATCTGCATAACAGTCTGAGATGACGAGGATTATTTGCCTCGTCGGAACATGAACCATGTTGGCATGTTGGCTTAGTATTGGGGGCATTTTCTTGCAAAGCCCTGATCCAAGTCAAATTCCCTGTATGTCTAACATATTTTGGTAATAAATGTTCCTGATTCTGCAAGACTGATTTAAAGATCGGTTACTTAAGGTTCACGTAAATTACGGAAGCTCTCCTCCACAAATACACAACAAGCAGGCTAGATTGAATTGTATTTGATCACATATTAAGTTCAGGCTAAAGCAGCAACACTGTATCAGAGCACACTGTGCCAGGATGTGACATTCAGAGGCAGCAGAAGTGAAAAAAATGGCGGACAAACTATTTGAGGAGAGAAAAATTCAATAACCTTCAAGAGGAAGGCAGTGGAAAAACTGTAATTGGGATTCTTTGATTTGATGCTCAGGCAGGGGAGGAAGGAAAAAAGGAAACAGGGTTTTATATCACATGTAGGCTCAGTCAACATTCAATCACTTTCTGCGACTTGAAAGAAAAGGGCTAAAAGTTCAGCGACTTTGTTGTAATTGGACAACTTCACCTCTAACTACTGTACAAGATACAAGCAAACCTTCCCACCCTCCATTAGGACCTACAAGAAATCCAAATCCCTTTCTCCTGAAACACTATCCAGCTTCACAACGTGTTTCCCAAAGGAACTCTGAAATGCTTCCCCATTAGTTAAAAGCTGTTCTTTTAAAGCAACATGAAGATGCCAGATCTATGACGCTCCCTGTGCTCTTGTAAACAATTAAAAAGATGGATTTTTAGGATTTAGGTATGGATGGTGATGACCCAGCAGAAAGTTGCACCCATATCAACCTTCATATTGCAGGAATTTTGCTGTCAAAGAGAGGCCCAGAGAGGAGATGCTGCCGCACTAATCGGTCGCCCCAGACTTGATTATACTTTAAACACCGATCCTCC